CAGCAGGAGGGATGAAGCAGTCTACCGACAAGCCCGGGACATTAAATGCAACTTCTTCAATCACCCAAGCTTCTTCCATTGTGGTCCTTGTGTGGCTCATTGCCGTCTCCCCAAACCTAAATAATGTAACTATGGACCTACCTGAATGAGCGATCATTATCCCCTCCACGGGTTTGTAATCATCGAGGAATGAGTTTATTGTAGTCTCCCAATACACTGCTTCGCCTCCATTGTTCTGAATTCGGGTTAGATGGGAATCTTCAAGATGGATCAGTAGGCCGGTTTTCTGACTGAAGTAGCCAAACAGCGCATGCCTTATTATCTCGGCCGGTCCTTCACTTCTGGATTTAAGAGTTGTGGCATCTGCACAGAGCTTCAGGATAAAGCAATCTTCTCCGTTCACCTTCTTCTCACCGATGCATCTCGCATTAGCAAACATACTAGCCGTTGTTCTCGGGTCAAGACCCTGTTTCAAAAATGGAGAAAGGGGAAAACTTTGATTAAGTTTTGGCAGCAGTGAGATAATCTACAAACAAGAATCTCTGCATACAATTTAAGACATGGGAAACAGATAGAAGAGAAAGACAAGAAAGATCCATAACACAAGGACAAGATGAATCACCTGAAGCGCTCTACGTAGTGGCCTCACTGGTCCTTTTGCAGCATGGGGGCCGAGCCAAGGTGTGTGCCTCCACACGAGTTTCCCGTTGCAGCCAGCATGAACTTTGCTTTTTCCAAGTGCGAGCTCTACATACCACATGTCGGGATTCATCTGCCACAGAACAAACCCACCCGACTCCACGGCCTTTGAGAAGTTTCGGGTCTTTGCGACTCTGTTAGCGCTCTCAAACTCCAAAGCAACCATCCTAACCCTTCCCATGGCATACGCATTATGGACCGAGCTCTGAAGCTTCTGGCCACCGGATGCAGCTCTGTATTGCTGCAATATGTATTGTGCAGATGAGGTTTCCTGTAGCATTCATCAACACATTTCTTCAACAGAATCTAAAGAAACATGGCATTGAAATTCAATATCAAAAATGTAAACTTGCGAAAAACCCTTTTTCCCTTCCCTAATTAAATGAGCCTGGACCATTATTTTCCTGGGTTTGTCCAAAATTTCCTTTGTCTACATCCATTAAAGAACAGAGGTAAATGACAAAAAAAGGAACCAAAAATCTAGTACAAGACCATGAAATTACATGACAGAGAAATTTGCAATGCAAGCTGTCATGGAGAGGAAGACAAAACTCACTCAACCTCCTCTTAACAAACAGATTACCCCAAAAGGGGTGTCCCAAAATCTTCATACGCTCCAATGAAACCAAAATCTCACCAATCTTCCACCTGACATACAGTGCCACTACTACTTTTCATCCCTTTTTTGTTTTCAGACTGATCATCCATTTGCTGGTAAACAAAAAACGATAAATTTCAAACCCAAAATTTACAAAACGAAATGCTCTAGACAGGTTTAGTAACGTAGAAGAACCAGAGGAAGAAATCAGGTATGCTTCGCAATTTTATTACAAAGATTAAATTTTCATCACTGATCCAAGTACCCATTTCAGCTTATTTACCAGGAAGACCAAGAACTTTGTATCACAGAATCATCAGACGGGGAAGAAAACATAGAAATAAACTTCCACGACACAGAGGGTTAATATAAGAGAAGAAGAACTCACAATGGGAGTGTCCTTGATGGTGAGGTGTGGAAGAGGATCCGCTGCGCTGACGTGCACAGGAGCCAACGGTGCGCCCAGAACTCCCAGCAGCAATCTCAAATCAGATCGTTCTCCGACGGCTGAAGCAGGAGCGGACGACGACGCGGAGGAGCTCACGGAGGGAGCCCTCGGGAGCCAGTGAGCCCACCGGTGACCTCTGCTGTCTACAGGACCATCCGGATCGGGACCTTCCTTCAACGGAGACAGAGCCTCCGGGTACGGCCGCACGAAGCTTCCGGATCTCGCGATCACCAGCTCCATCTTCGCCGCCGCCGTCGAGCGGTCTCCGCCTTTTCTCCGCCGCAGAAGGCTCGACATAGAAGAGCCTTTCCTCGCCGGACTCTTCGCTCTCGACCTCGCCGGAGACAATCCCCGAACCACTTCCTCCTTCAACGCTGAGAAAAACCCTTGTCTCTTTTCCATCGATTCTCACAGAGAAAAAAAAACGCACCAGCAGAGAGAGAGAGAGAGAGAGAGAGAGAGAGAGAGAGAGAAAGAACAGCGAAGAGCTCTCACTGAAAAAGCAGCGAAAGCAAGGAGAGAGAGAGATATTTTTAGCTTTATAATAAACCAATCGCATGTTTTATTGCTCTATTTTTTTTTTATAATTCCATGTAAGATATTGTTTTATCATTACTAGAAAAAGCCGCGCGCAATGAGCGGGTTAGTATTTTTTATATTAAATGTATTTTTATTAAATTTATTGATACGAATGTTTTAAAAAAATGATACATGATATGATATGAGAATGTGTAATCAAAACTATTCATTATTACTATAGAATATTTAAATATTATTTTTTTATTAGAAATTTAGAAGTTTATATACATTCGTAATTAAATATATAGTATATTTGAATTTTATTTCGTTTCATATTGCTTTGAAGAAATTAATTTTACTATTTTGTAAAATGTTTTTTTGTAATATAATTTTTTATGTAATAAAATATTCTCTATAATTTGTAATTTATATTAG